AACGATATCCACATCGAATCCTGCATCAAATGCAAATACGACTACGTTCGTGATCATTTCAAAATTTAGGATCATTTCAGCCAGAAAGAGAATAAATTTTCAAGTGGTAGGCGAGAATCGACCAAAGAATGAGCAAGCGACAAGAGACGTACCAAGATCAGCAAAGCCAGTAGCAATGACCATCTTGTCAGCGCTGTGTCCGTTCTTGTCAATAGTTGAAACGAGAATTCTTGGCTGACGTCCTTCTCGATCGGCGAACGTCTTCACCTGGACAATGACACGATTAATTTTCGTTGAACTGCTGATCTGATGAGGACTGACAAATTTTCAAATAAATTCTCGCATTATAAACGCTCAATTTCGTGAGCTTTGATGTATTTGAACGACTTTAATTGAGCAGAATCAATTGCGCTCGTTTCGAATCGTTGATCTTTACGCGCACAAATGACATTTCATAATGAGCTGCTGATAAGCGAACAATAGTTGTGCATTAGCTAAATAATCCATATATACATTAATCGAATTCTTTTTTGAAAGTGAACGTATTATGTGATTCTTAAATGAAACTTACACGTTTCACGATATGATTAACATCTTTGCCATCACTTGAACGTAAAAAACGATTGGATGAGAATAGTAAACTGCGAATCGGTTTCGATAACGATGGCAATGAACGACCGATACGATGACATATAAACGACATCGTGACTTCAGTGGATAAATTTATTAGAATCGACTTCAATCTGAAATTTCCTCATTGAAAACGTGGTTGGAATCGTTGTACAATTACAGAATCATTATTGAAACATCGTAAGTACACGCTGACACTTCCCTTTAAGGTAACCTGCAAGGAGAGATCAAAATTCAGAGACGGCACTGTTTAGAGATGGAAAATGCAGTAATTGTAACAATAACCATTTAAATGCTGAATTATAACATAAACAAAAGTGATGTCAAAGTATGGGAAAATATTTGAGAGATGACACTCGTGAATGTGGAATAAATGGCGATATCATGAAGAACGTGTTGTGATTGTGTTACTAAATGAACTCGTAATGAGTTTATTTAGTGATACAATTGCTGATTAAATAAATGAATAAATCAATATTATCTAGTAAACAATTCGCTGTGATATCTATCATCAAATGCGTATGAATGAGTGAATTGGCGAATAAGAAAGAGTAAATTTGCCATAGCAAACATTTCATCACAGTCAGAATTATGCATAGACTAAAATTCGAGAAGATTAATGGAATAGAGATTGATAGGATGACCAGTGAGTTGCTCTATAGGACTGGTCAGATGACATGCAGCATATACGAATGAGGATATGTTGTTGGCATTAACGAGTTTCGGTTCTACTTACGCTAACTATCCACTGAATGACCCTCATTGACCAATAACTCTTAGCTGGATAAGTTTTCTCTCGATACAAATCTACATATTTCTATTCATAACGTTTCATCAAGGAAACTTACTCGTTTGCTTAAGCACGTGGTGTATCGATTGATAAACACTCCGAGAACGATCGATCATTTTCGAGATTCGAAATTGCAAATTCTTTATTCTTTTAG